CTTTATTAGAAATGATGTACTTTAGAAAATCAACCTAAATAGTGTAAAATATTCAATTTTCTATCTTTGCATATAATCTTACATCTCTAAGTTTTTGTAACATACAACCAACATAAAGTTCATGTTCTTTTATATCTTTAGAATAGATTAAAATGTCATCTAAATAATAGACAAAAAAATCATCAAAGAACTCACAAACGACATCATTCATGAGATTTTGGAATGTAATTGGTACATTTATGAGTCTAAAAGGCATGACATTATATTTGAAATATCTAGATTTAGTTTAAATAGCAATCTTCTATTTTTTTCTTTCTTTAATATAGATTAGATTGTATGCTCCTCATAGATCTATTTTTGTATAGATCTTTGTTTGATTGAGTTAATCAAAAAGTCTTGAAATCAAAGGTAAGAGATACCTATTTTTGATGGTGTTCTTATTAAGTCTTCAATAATCTATACACATCTACAAAGATTAATTTTTTTTCTTTACAAATAAGATTGGAGTTCTTGCTAGAAATTTTGAATGATATATAAAATTCTTAGCTAATTTTTTGTCAATTTATTTCTTTAGTGCAGCTAATTCATTTTGCAATAAACTATAGATTGGTCCAAATAGTGATTGAGCTCTTTCATGTAGATCAATTTAACAATCATAGAATCAATAATTTGAAAGAATATTTGTATTCTTCTTTTTGAAAATGTCCTAGAAAGCTTGATACTAGCTAGGAATATCACTTGACATTTTTCTACCATCAAAAATAGATGTGGCATATATAGGAAAAGATGGCTCTTCTTTTGTTGCATATATGAAAGCTCTTGCACCTACTAATAAAGATTTGGATATATTGGACTTATCTATTTCTACTTTACTATTAAAATTTTGGATTAAACTATAAGAAAAGTTAAGGTTATGAAAAATCCAATCTATCTAAGGATTATATTTTTTTAATTATAATAATTTCAAAATAATTGAATTAGAAAGAGATCTTATGACATTAAATATTACTACACTATTATAATCTTTAATTGCTACATTTAAATGAATAGTCTCATGAGTAATATCTCTAAAAGATAACAAACAATTATCTATGACTTTTACAAGTACGGATTTAGTTTTCTTGACTAAAGGTATTTCTTGGTTTTTAATCAAATCTTTGTCTATAAAAAAAGCCGAGGCTCTTGAATCTAATAATACAAAGACTTTGTGATTTTTAGGTCCTAAACCTATATCTATTATAAAACAAGATAATAGATTTGAAGAGAGAATAGGACCTTTACTAGTTATTATACATGATTTCAGCTACACAATCTCTATTATAGTTGGAAAAACTTGTTTTCTAACATATTATCTTCTTTGGCAATTGTGCTCTTCATTTTGTCATTGTATTGCTTCTTTGGACTATATTGAGTAGTGTGTTTAGTTTCTCTATGATATAAGTACAAATTCTCTTGATGATGTTGAATCTTTTTTTATTTAGTGAAGAATTTAAATTGTATCATATCAATTTGTATTGGTTCTGATTTTAATAAATAAATTTTAAAAAACTTAGAAACTACTATCATTACTTGGCTTTTTCTTCTTCAATCAAGTCTTTGTTTTTGATGCCTTTTAAATAATCAAATGTTGTATGCAATGACTTGAGCAATAAATTGTTCCAAAGATTTTACTTTTGGTATTATCAATAATAAATTTTTGACATTATTTTTCAATCCATATCAAAATTGATTGATAAGGACTTTGTCATTCCAATCTATGTTATAAGTAAAGTTTTAGAGTTCAACAACATATATAATAGTTGATTGTGATTCTTATCAAAAAATTTAAGAGCTTGATTTTTGCTACTTTTTCTTGATCACTATTTCAAAATGTAGTTATAAACACTTTTAGGAATGAATTCAAATTGTAAAAGAGTTGTGAATTGCTTTCCATTAATAGTGTAAATCAAAAGAGATCACTTCCAAATAGAAGTGTACCTATGAATCTAACTTGAATAAATCCGTTAAGATATTGGAAGAGATGCAACCTTAGATATAGCTTGATTTGTTGCAAAAAACTTCAAAATTTTGATCTTGTTCCATCAAACTTTTCAAGCATGCTAATTCTTGTCCCTATCATACTTGTAGAAATAAAACTTCCTAGATTTAGTTATGAGATTGATTTACTTTCTTTCTTCAATTATACAACTTCTTGACATAGACTCTAAACTTCTTCCATAGGCATAGAATTAGTATTTCCATAATTGATGCTTGTGATGCATGAAATTTCTATCCCAAGAGTATTGAAAAGTTCTTAAAGATTAGCAATAATTGCAAATCTATTCTCATTTCTATCAAATGTAGTATCTATGATATTTCTTTTTTTTTTCAAACAACTTAACAAATCCAAAATTTAAATTAGAGGAGGATAATGTGTAACATCTAATATCAAATGAAAATTTCTACAAAGAAGAATAATCCACTCTGTTTGAAAAAGATATCAATGTTAGAAAATTAAACAGTTTGTTTAAAGGTGAGTAATCTACAACCTTCAAAATACAACAATAGAAATGAGGTAATCCACTCACTTTTAAAAAAAGACAAAAATAATGAATTAGAACTCTTGTCAAATTATCAAAGATATGAATTTCAAAAAAAGAAATCCTCAATACACTCTTATGTCACTCAAAAAGACTAGAAAACCATTCAAAGATGGTATAGTATTAAACTAGAATGGCTATTTCTAAAGACAAGAAGACTAAAAAGTCTTCAAATAAGACTAAAGACTAGAATGGCATTCACAAGAGTGAAGAAGGCTTCATTCTTACTTCCATATATATTCTTAACTAAGAATTATGTGGCAGTGTCTTATAGGACCTTCAAAATGTATTGACTTTATAAGACATGTATCTTAACTTACTAGACAAGTTTTTTATATGTATGCCACATAGTTAGCTTGTTCTAGAAGCTACCAATACATAGTTAACTTGTTGACCAAGTTTCTAACCTACCAATCAACTCCAAACACATCTAAAGTCAAAGCGGCATGTATGAAGAGTTTAGGAAGCTTCTATAGAAAATATTATGAAATAAATCTACTTTTACCTATTTTTATTTAATCATATAGAGGACTATTAGAGTAGTTTTGAATGTTTGTTATATGTTATAGAATTGGTCTTGAATTTTAGAAATGTATAGATACTTAAGCATTTTGTTTTTTTACGACAAAGTTTTTCTTTATGAAACCAAATGATTTTTTTTGAGGTCACATTAGGCTACATTACTCTTGAAATTTAAGTATTTAAGACTCTTATCTAATAAAACTTCTATTTATTTTAATCTTAATATTTAATTGAGTTTAAATTTGAAGAATACATTCAAAATATGAACAATTTTAATATTACACAAATTCATTCATAATTTAGTTGTAAAGTTTGTATTTTTAAAAAAAATGTAAGACACTTTTTATTTCTTAAAATCTAGAATCATTGCATATGTCCCTTGCTTTGAAAAATCTAAAGAACTTAACACACCTTTTAATTATTAAAAATTAATGATCAACGACCTTTTTTAAATTTTCACTCATATTGTGCTGTCCAATCAATAAGAGAATCTTAAAATTATTATAGGTTTATAGTTTTTTTGTCTTATAATCAAATTTCGACCCTAATTCACAACTAGTTCTTTCCAAATTTTAATTTTTGCTATCTTGAGGTAATTTTTACCACAAATCATTATTAATTTCTTCTTAAAGATGCATATATATTATTTATTTTCTTAGTTTTTTTTTAATTGCCTTATTTTTGGTCTCACAAAGTAAATAGAAGTTTTTTTTATAAAAAAGCAATATTAATACTAAATTTTTACTATCTTTTTATCTCTTATCATTATTTTACTATTTTATCTTTCAACTAGGCTCTTCCATTATAGAACCTATATTTTTAGCTTTTACTCTATAATTGTATTAAAACATGACACTAAAAAAATTTGGTAGTGAGAATAAGGATAGGATAGACTACATGTAATGGCTTCTTATCTTAGAAACAACTAAGAATTATTTTGGAGATAATTAGGAGTCATCTTAGAGACAATTCGAAGAAATCTTTGAGATATCTTGGAAACATCTTAATAATACTTTTGAAGTGTCAAGGTGACTTAAGAAAGTGAGGCAAGGCATAAAGGGCATAATTGTTGTATCTTTATTTTGGTTAATAAAGAAGACAAATTTTGGATCTTAGATTGGAAACTTTTGTAATTTGATTGGGATCTTTGATTAGAGCAAGTTTTTGGGATGGTATTTAGAATATGTATATCCATTTGTGTGCAAAGTTTGAAGAAAAAAATTAATTAGATCAAGGAGAAACAACATGCTAAAGCAAAAAGTGTAAAAAAAGAGTAGCGGCTAAAAAGTTCATTTTGGAAATGTGCTTGCTATTGATGATTCAAGTTACCAAGTACTTTGAAAATTGGAAAATAAAGAGAAAATGAATTATGTGATCTAATACAAAAGGTCTCAAATCATTTCAATGATTTTACATTGAATTACACATGTTCAAAGTGAGGTAGGTCAGATTTGGTGCAAGGGACGGATTTGGATAATAACTTTATACAAACAAATGCAAAGGAGAGGATAGAAACTAACTAAGACATACAAAAGCAATAAAGATTACTCTTAAATTTATGATTATTCTTAAATTTTTTTAAAAGTAAGTATTTTTCAAACAGTCAAATATGCAATGCTAAAAATGATATATGTTACTTAAAATTCAAAACCATGATTAGAAAGTTGTACACTTAATCCTAAACTTTGAAAATAAACAAGAAATATATAAAAATCATTTGATTTATTATTATTTGGTTTAAGAAAAAAATACTTTACATCAAAGATGAAATGATACAGATACATTTAAGGATCCTAAATAGTATTCAATTAAAATCTATAGAAATGGAATAAATAAAAAAAAAAAAAAAAAAAAAAAAAATGACAATGAAAGATTGAAAAGCCATGCAAAATTTGTGAATAGTGACAAGAACTATTGTGTAGACACCAATCGGAATTAAACTCTGTGGGCAGCAGCACAAACATCCTGCCGGCTAGGGTGAGTGCGACGCCCCAGAGCCAGAGCCAAAGCACAGGATGAGCATGAAAGTGATGAGAGCATCTGCAGAGCGAGAGAAAGACAGAGACAGAAAGTGAGGGGGGGTAGCGGCGATGGTCCTCCCTCAGCGATGTGTCCGCACCGCGTTCTCATTCATTTCCTCGCCAACGACAGCACTGGCACTTCCAAGGGCACTCCGGGTTCCGGCTCCAGAACTTGGCAATTGGGAACCTCTTGCGCCAGCATTTCCTGCACACCAGCCAACACACACACACACGCAGCACCGCATCAATAACGCCCATCTCTGGTCCCAACCCCGCACCCGCCATGCATTTTGCCACTCTACTCTTTGCATCTATGCTCACATGTACTACGACGGGTGTAGCACCAATAGTACCTTGAAAGACTCCACCGTTCCTTTTTCCTTCACGATCAAAGACAGAACCCCTCGCGCATCTAGCTCCGCATTCTTCATGGTCACCAAGTACCTGCACATAACTCATCGCACATCCCCCACTCTTTAGCCCCTCTCTACCGTGTCACGCACATTACTACCTCCCTATCCTCTGCCACCCTCATCCCCGTTCGCGCTTCCTCTGTGTCCGCGAATACCATTTCACTGCACCAAGACGAAACGCATAACAGGATGGCCTCTCCGCAAGACCTTTACCTGGGTTGAAGAAACTTGGCGAGCTTGACCGCATCCTCTTGGCCGGACACCAGGGTGTAGGCAGGCAACACTTGCTTGTTCACTGGCGTCACTATTACATCCGCCCTCTGCTTCTCCAACCCCGCTTTCCCGAATATACAGTGCGGCTCGTAGTACACCACAAACTTGGGGTCTGCCACTTCCAAAAAATACCTGTATTACAGAATATTATTAGTTCAACCATCCAATTCTACTTCAACACAAAAAGCAATTTTGAAAATGTAATTGAGCGTGAGATTATTGGTACAAGAAGCAATTCTACCGAGTAATTCAAGACGGTTACAAGTCTAAACTACAGACTAGAAACAGAATACAGGTCATGCAGAGATATTCCATGTGACATGGTCAAACCACATTCGACGTTCGATAAACAGGGCCATATTCAAGGAGTCCTCGTCTAATGAAGATCCTCACGAAAGCTCTTCTGCGCGAGGTTTATCTCAATGGCTTTGAGTCAGTATGACAGGTGCAAGAACCCACCCATTTTCCGGTCGCTGCCAGGGTGGCCCCAAAACAGGCCCTTCTACTGCACGAATACGAATATCCCCCAACATGGTACTATCGCGCGGCTCCAAGTATGTAACCTGTTGGATTTCACATGTTCAATTCACTTGATCGCATCAATTCTGACTCAACCTGAGCGCTATTTAAATGAGTATGGATCTATCTCGACACTTTCGTCGGATAAGATATTCAACACAAGTCATTTGATCCCCCACTGTGATCCACTGCAGTCCAAAAAGAAAGCATTGATGAGCTGAAATTCCTCGTCAAACACAATTCAGAACGTACGTTATGGAACCCAATGTTCCGCATGATGGGCTCCGCATTCGGTGACGCGATTACACGCACTTCACTGAACTTATCGACCATTGCTGTGAGTGTGTTTTTATGGCAATGATCATCATATCCTTGCGTGATTAAGATACAGTCCAGTTTTGGGAGATCGTCCAACTGTGACAGGAATCCATTCCATTCACATCAGCACGCATTCTTCATCTCTGCCACTGCTCCACATTCTCATATTTGCTGCTGCCTCATGGAAAATGATCGATTGTTATCTAGGGTACATCAGAAAATGGAATAGTCAATGGAAAAGAGCAAATTACGGTGAATTGCTTCATGAGCTTGGACTTCTTGGCAGCATCGTACAAGAATGGGATGCCGAAGTCCAAATTTCCTACGAGTACTGGATCCACCAAGATATTCATCCCATTTATAATCCATAGCCAGCTGTTTCCCTGCCAGAACACGAGTATTATCATATGGTATTGAATTGGTGGTCAGCTCAGGTGCTTACTTTGCAATATACACGCGAAACATCCATTATGAAGAATTAATTTCTATCATGCACAAAACAGTCTCAACCAAAACAATACATATACTGCCATCAATGCAGGCGACATTTGTTGCTTTACAAATTGGAAATCAATCTCACTTTACGTCTACATGTTATCTGTGACCTTTCTCTGTCCTGAAATCCGAGAATCGATAAGTCACTCTAGCGTAATTCTAACGTTAATAACTTAAGTCCAAATTCAGTCCACGTCAATATTTTTGCCACAATAGTGAATGCAGACTTCTTTGAAAACAGACCAATCTCTAGATACTGAACGAAAAATCACTTGCTGAAACAGGAACGTGCATGAAGTAGTGATGCAGGTGTGGACTACCTCAAGGTAAATCATCTCTAGAGGAGTCCTACCCGACGGAATTTCGAAGCACTTATCCGATTCCTTGGCAGGAGCTTCACTTCCTTGCAGTGAAGCAGCCATCGTCACTGAACTTCGCTCCCTGCCACGCAGACGTATTCCATTAAATTATTAGAATAAACTTTAATTCAACAAGTGATCATTTGAAATTCAATCAATACATTAGTAACAGCATAATACTAGAAATCGTCTCAACCACGTAATGTCTCTCCATTAGTATTCATCAATCACTTCACAAAAAACCTTGCTGCGTCCTTCGTTTCCTCCCTCCCTGTTGTTGATTTGGCGAATCAGTCCCGCCGCAATATTACTTACCGGGTAAAAATCACGCACTAGTGTCCAACATCATCAGTTTAATTCTTAGACTCTAGACTTAATGTTACCAACTTCGAGTAGGTGTGAAATGACTCTCCGTGTCAAGCTTGACAAGACAAATTCTTAGGTTTTCCAAATTTTAGGCTGGTTAAACTGGGCTTTTTGTGCCTGATTGCACGCCGCCACCGTACACTTAGCGAATTTGGGTCCATGGATCACAGCTCGTTATCCACTTTCCATCCCCACTACCAATTCCTTTGTTAACGCCATGTCGCAGTAACTGCAAGGCATTTCCTACTTCCACAAGCCCGACGAAATTGTTTTTTTTGTTCCTTTTTTCTAGATTCTGTTGCTGTACTTGGTTATCGTTCGGAACCCCAGTTCTGTGGTGTAAACAAAGCTCAATTCTTCACAATAGCAATAATTACGAAACAACTGCCTTTTGGCAATCTGTTAATAAATTGTCTGGACGTAGCCGTCCAGATAAAAGAGAAGCCAAGTTGAAGGAGCAGCCTTCCTTTCACTTCAGGAGGTCAAATGCAAGAATGTCGACATGCCTTCTTTACATTCATATTCAAGCCGCATTGAATCCAAGCCAGCGAGTCCAGTACTAGGCTATCCTCTGTTGCGACGACCGCTTGAACAATACTCGTAGCGAGCTGCGTGATTGCCATCAGGAAGAATCGACATGCTTACAAGGAATCCCTCATACACAGCCTCAGACAACAAGGACAAGCGAGGCAAAGCTACCACTGACCTTCCTGAAAACGATGGATGCAAAAGCAGTGGTTGAGCAGCAGCGCCAATGCATAGCGGTGGCGGTGGATTCCGACTGCAACAGAAACGCTGTGCTTGAAATGAAGCAGAAGAATTATTTGTTCCGACCTGAGAAAGAGGAAGTGAACTTATTCCAAACACATTTTGCTGCAGAGAAGAGGCCATGGGACGAGGGGTACTACGGTGTGCCAAACTAACAACAAAGAGTAATGTAAGGGAGTATGGGGCCAAGTGGCATAGAGAACAGAAAAAGATGAAGACGAAGAAGAAGAAGAAGCGGGGTTTGGTGGGGTGGCAGGCGTTTGTGTGAGAAGAGCGAGCATGGCCGACGTGTGGTGCGGCGGGGGAGTGTGTGGCGTGAAACGCAAGAGCGATGATGACAAGTTTGAAAAGTGCGTTGGTTCGTGGCTAATTCAGCAAATGGAGCTGCCATGCAAGAGACTACATTTCCATGTGGTACAATAGCAACGTCGACGATGACGACGCATCTCTGCTGCGGCACAGTAAAGGTGGCGGTCCGGTGAGGCAATGGACGAATCCCACTGGGACCTACAGCACCATTGATACATCCTAAAAATGAGTGGCTCTGCTCTATCGTCCCAACATCTGTTTCTCCTGCACTCCCACGCGACTCCAGAATTCAGAAACTGGGTCATGTGCTGTCTAGAAGCTCAAGACTAGAAAACCACTCAAAGATGGTATAGTATTAAACTAGAATGGCTATTTCTAAAGACAAGAAGACTAAAAAGTCTTGAAATAAGACTAAAGACTAGAATGGCATTCACAAGAGTGAAGAAGGCTTCATTCTTACTTCCACATATATTCTTAACTAAGAGTTATGTGGCAGTGTCTTATAGGACCTTCAAAATATATTGACTTTATAAGACATGTATCTTAACTTACTAGACAAGTTTTTTATATGTATGCCACATAGTTAGCTTGTTCTAGAAGCTACCAATACATAGTTAACTTGTTGACCAAGTTTCTAACCTACCAATCAACTCTAAACACATGTAAAGTCAAAGCAGCATCTATGAAGTTTTTAGGAAGCTTCTATAGAAAATATTATGAAATAAATCTACTTTTATTTACTTCTATTTAATCATATAGGTAAATATTAGAATTAATTTGTATGTTAGTGATATATATATATATATATATATATATATATATCTATCTTATATATAAATAAATAAACAAATAAGTATCCAAGAACATATTAGGTGGTCAATATAAAACTTGTAAGAAAATTTTCTATTTATTAATAACAAAATTAATAAAACACTTCCTACAATATACTTTGTTTTTCTTTTTTAGTGCTATATTTTTTATAACTTTAATATTTATAAAACCAAATGCTGATGCCTTGAATTTATAGAAAAAATAAATGAAGAAAATCCAACAATAGAAAGAGTGTATTATTAAAAAAACAAAAATCACAATGGTAGTAATAGAATTTTGTAGTAATTTTAAGCTTTGTGTTTTCTTGTCAATTTGTCTATTTCTTGCTCTTATTTTTTATTTAACATAATATAGATCCTTTAGATTCTAAAATTACCACTTCTATATATGATCTTCTTCTATCTACAAAACTCACTCATTCCATACTTCTTTTGAATTTTATCTTAATAATTGCATAGTATATCAATCAATTTTAACTTGATTAGTTGTAGTTTTTATTTATTTATTTTAGATCTAATTTTAATGGCATTGATTTTGTCTAGAAGTTAATATCAAGTGGCTCTTGCTAAAAACTTCTACCTTAGAATTTACTAATTCAAGACATTCAAATAAATTTGAGGTCTATATTTTTAAATAAATTTGTAATTAATATAATATTTTATATTTATTAGACATTCATATGAAATCCTATTTGAGCTTTAAAAAAATCTATCATTACTCAAATCAAATTTTCAAAAGATATTTTTTAAAAAAATTATTTCATAATACTTGAATGTATAATATTTAATTTATGTATATATATGGATTTAATGTTAATTTAACAAGTACATCTATAGTAGTATAAAAATTATTTGTATCAAGTCTTTTAAATAAAATACTACTTATTATATTTGCTTCTATCTAGATCTTAGATATACTTAAGTCACTATTTAATTGTTACCCACAACTTATTAAATCTTATGATCTATCTATATGCTCTAATCTTGTGCTTACAAAACAAAATCCATTTTTACAATTTTTAAATAGTATTCTTTGCTCTTCAATCACCACCAATCTTATCTTAGATCCAAAATCAAGACCATTGCAAATAGTAGCAAGAACATATTGTATTTTATTTCACTCAATCACTTACTAGGGATAAAATATGAGTTGAAAACAAAACAATCAGCTTTGCTTCTTGTCTCCCTTTTAAACAAGAAAATAGAATATTATAGTTATAATTTCTTGAATTCAATATACAATGATTTCTCAAAAGGAAATAAGTATCTTTCTAAACTTATAGTAATTTTTTCTACTATTGCCTACACTTGCACTTACATTTCTTCAAGCATTAAGTAGTTTCATGAATTTTGTGGTATGACCATATATTTTATTTTTAAAAGCTTCATAACCTCTAGCAATCCATTTCTAATAGTCAATGAAGTTTTATTATATCTTTGGCTTAAATAAAATATATTATATTTTTTTGACTTCAAACACAAAACATGATATCTTCCACCCTTTCTTTATTAATGAAAAAATACGAAATATATATATATATATATATATATATATATATACTTTTATAATTACACAATGAAGAACATTCTATCTTTGCTTCTTTCATCACAAACTAAGATATATTTTGCCTCTACTATATTAATTATAAAATAATGAATATTTTACCACTCAATTTTAATTAAAAAAATAAAAAATTCTCTTTCTAAAATCACAACAAAAATATTCTTTTTCTATAAATAAATAATTTTCATTATATTTTTTTTCATATGCCATAAATTTTCTACATACTTTTAGAATGTATTATTTATAGTATTCAAGCAAACTAAGAGATTTTCTTTTAATCAATAAGTTTAGTTCTTTACAAATTTTATTAATTTGTTATAAATTAGTATATTGAAAAGTGTAAAAGTTTTAGATTAATATCAAGGGTTAAACTAATAATTATTTAGGTTTTAAATCTATTATAGAATATATCTAAGATTTGACTAGAATTTATTAGGATTTATTTAAGATTTTATTAAGATTTTTTAAAGTTTATTTAAGATTATATTAAAGTTAGATTAAAAATTTTAATATTTAATTGAGATTTAATTAAGATTTAATAAGTATTTATTTAAAATCAGCTGAGATTTTATTTATTTATTTAGAATCTATTTAGGATCTTCTTATGATTTCTTTATGTTTTATTAGAATTTATTTAGAATTTAATTATGGATATTAAAAATTAATTAATATTTATTTAGAATTGATTAAAATATAAATTGATATTTTCATGATTTTTCTAAGTTTAATAAGGTGTACTTAACATAACTGGAAGTTTACTTTAATTTTTCAAGATTTCCAAAAAGATAATTTTAAACATCTTATACATTATTTTTAGATTAAAACTTTAACTTTAAGATAAAATCAAATCCTTCTACAACTAAAAACCTTGTGCATTTTCAATTTGATTTTTACATATTATAACAATATTTTAGTCCAAATTAAGTTTCTATTATATTAATTGTTTAATTTTCTTACATCTATTTAATTTAAAATTTATCCTAAATTATATAATAAATATAGCCTTAAATTATTATTATTATTATTATTTTTATTTTAAAATTTAGAATATATCACATCTAAATTAATAATAATTTTTTTTTAATTTTATAAAATGATTAAATTATTCATTAATATTAAAATTCTATATCTTTTTTATTTTTTCAATTAAAATTCATCAATAAAACTAATAGACTTATATAACCATCTAAATAAAGAAACAAAGGAATTTGGCACTTCTAAATAGATTGTACATCTTTCCTTCAAAAATATATGAATCAATATTGCTACTAAATTTTAAAATAAGTACAATTAGTTTTTTTAGAAAAAATAATTGAAGTTAAATCTATTCTTCAAATTTCACTTTAAAATTCATTTAGACACCCCCAATACTACCTTTTAAAATTAATGCTTTAATTTGATATGACAACAAATTTCTTTCTATGAATTTGAATGCCACTTTTTTTTTTCTTGATTTTTTTTTTGGTGAATCTAATCTTACTAGAATCTTGACTACAAAATAAATCTTCTTACAAAACTTGAATTCTTAAGTTGCATTAATCCTCCTAACCTTACACTCTAGAGTTGTATCTCTAATTTTCTGCCAAAATTTAGATATAATCGATTCTTTACTACAAAAATTACACAAAACAAATAATTATGGTCAAAAAATCAAATACTAATACTACAAAAATCACACAAAACAAATAATTATGGTCAAAATTTGTTTTGTGTGATTTCAAAATTTAGAGGTTTTTGACCATTTGAATCTATAGAACCTCTTATGCTATTGCTTTTATATCTAAAAATGGTGGCTGCATCTCTATCTTTGAATCCTAAGGAGTCTAAACTAAGTTCTATGGCCTTAATTGATTTCAAAGTCAAAACTCAAGATTAAAGCTAATGGTCATCAATTGAACTCTAAATTTATTTTTTTAGCCAAAATTACTTTATTATTGTATTTAAAATATACTTCTAAATTAAAATTGACTATTTATATGCCTTGATTTATAAAAAAAATATAATACTTATGAATATTAGAAGTATGTCTATTTGGATTGGAATTAAATTACTTATAATTTACTTATGATATTATTTCTACCATGGTTAGATTAAAGAAATGCTATAACATAGATAAATGATAAAAAAATAAAATTTAGAAATAAATCATCTAATGATCTATTAATTATGCTTTCAAAATTCTACTAATAAATGTAATTATAAAAGTTTATGAAATTAATTAGTATTAATTATTATATAATTTATATCTAATTTCTTTATTTTTTGATTTTTTTAGTTAAAATATATAATATTTTAAGAAATTGAATATTTTTTAGTTTTTAATTTCTACTTAACTTACATAAAAAAATCATCAAATTAACAAATATATCTTATATATAGAAAAATCAAACATCTATTGATTAAAACAAGGTTATTTGTACAAAGTACAAAAGAAAAAAAATACAAATTTATACAAAATAATTTTTTATTTAAATAGAAATTAGAATTATTATTATTATTATTATTTTAAAATTAAAAAAAAAGATATATTTAAGACATATAATATTTTTACATTCCAAAATTTTGACCTCATGATTGCACAATTGTGAGGATAAAAGTCACATTTTAGTCCAAATTATAAAATGACTTCAATTAAGAGATATTTGTAGTTGGTGGTGTAAAGTGAGAGATAAAATTAACAAGAA